TACATCCTCTACAAACTGTCCACACAGCTAACAAAAATCCAAGTACAGACTCTCAATAAACTTTGTGCACACTGTGCCAATAACAGTAGCTCACACTCCATTGCTAAAACAGTTACAGTTCTGAACCATCCTAGGTTTAAGAGCAGATAGCAAAACAATAAGGAAATATCTTAATCACATCTTTGAAAAGACGTTTTAAAAAGCCCACTCATTATTCCAGTTACCACATGTGGATGTGGCCTCTTTTTGAGAGTTCTTTACCCTGAGTATCATTAATGTTGCAGTAGTCCATGCCTACAGGTGCTAGTTTCTTTGTGACTCACACCTCACTCTGTATATGAATGCATTTGACTTATTTGTAATGTATTCAAATACATTTGAATATTCAATCACACGTATTAGGAGTGGGGCAGCATACAGATAATACAGGGTGGACTGTGGAAGGCATTGTCAGCAAGGAGCATAAATGGTATTATGTTGCCTCTTGAAATAATCTGTAATTTGACACCTCTCAAGAGTTTGGCATATAAATCAGATGTTTAATGAAAATCCTTCTCTCTGCTAGACGTCTCCCATGTCATTAAATTCCTGCTGATAATCAGTCCCTGGTGTTTTGTTGTTCAGTTGATTGGTTTTTCTTCTGTGGTAGTAGAGATTGAATCGCAGGCCTTACACATGCCAGGCAAGCTCTTCCCACCAAATCACACCCTCAGCTCTCGTAATCCTGTTCTTCTGGAAATATTGTTATACCATTTCACATATGGTGAAAATGTGCAACTGTAAGATTGGGATATTCCCCAGTGTTCCACAGCCTCCAAGTCTACTCATCTTCCTCCAGGTCATAGCTTCACTGAACATTTTACAGTTAGGAGGCTTTTATAAAGGTCAACAATTCTCCCATCCAAAGAGGAGCCAAATAACAAAAACCCTCAGAGACAAGACAAAAGATAAACAAAAACCAAACAGCCAAGCAGCACAGTCATCCTACAGACGTGTTGAGTCAGCATTTGGTTTTTTCTAAGGCTTGATGAGCGTTAGCTTTGCTCTCTTGAACTTTGAGATTCAGTCGCTCTGCAAGCCCCAGGGGTGCGCATGCTGATGCTACAGAAGCAGCATTCTGTGGTACTGCTCCGAGGCTCAGGTACTCCTGCTCCTCTGGCATGCCTGGCCAAGCAGCTGTTCACGTGAAACGATGGCCAGTCTAAGCAGGGTGCCTACCTGCCGACGTAAGTCATTCCTCTGATTAATGCAGGTTTAATGTCCAAAGTCATAAACTACTTAGAAGGGAATGGAGAATGAGCTAACTCATGCTATCTCTGAGCACCAAAAGGTGGTTGGGTCTGCTTCAGACCATGGCTGAGAGCAACTGACTTTCCATGTTCCTGTCTTGTGAGTCTGGACAAGTTTCTTGCTCTCTCTCAGTTTCTTTGTAAATAAAATAGGGACAATAAACCTTTCTTCAGAAGGTGCAGCAGCTAAAGGTCATCTATGAAAAGAGCATGGTGTGTCAGAGCCTTGAAGAAGAAATGATAGGTGTTATTACTATCATCGTACTTATAATAAAACTCACCATTTTTCTGTCTTCATCAACTCTCCCTTGATTTTCTCTCTTAGGATGCTCGTGCATGCTGGGCATGTGCTGTAGAGCTGAGCTACACTGAGCTCCATTCTCATTTAACAAGAGTCATGTATGATGAAACCTCACAGAACTCTAGTTCAGGTCATCTTGGTGTCATGAATTAAAAAACCAAGAGTTTTGATGAGTACTTGGTAGAGATGTGGGATCCAGAACATGTGCCATTGGGTGGCCAATGGAGTCAGGGGGCTGATGGGAATCATTTGATGTAGAGTTCTGAAGCACCTAGGACAGGCCTTGATCTGTCTAAATGAGCCCCAATTTTTTTCAAACACTTCATTTTCCTTGAATAATCACAGTTGATGTCTACTATTTGCTACATTTAAAAGCTGTCCAAATTAGAAATTAATTTAGAAATTTTGCCTCATTTCATTGCAACTTCTCTTTTTTGTGTGCATGTGTGTAGTTTGTGCATGTGTGTGTGCGTACGCATGTCCAGGCTCCTGTGCGGGATGCAGAGGCCTAAGGTGAACATTGGCTGTCTTCTTCCATCATTCCTCATCTTACCTTCTGAGACAGTTTTTTCTCACTGAACCTGGAATTTGTGGAAGGCCCCCAGGATGTGCTCCTTTCACTGAATTGCAGGTACATTCTGTACCTGGCTTTTTACATAAGCACCAGGGGTCTGAAGTCAGGCCCTCATGCTTATGCAGGAGCCACTTCCTTAGCACGCTGCTTCTCATTTTGGCCAACAAATTCTAGTGTTGTGCTCAGCAACCTTAAGCACTTTGCTTTGGCTTTCCATTTCATGAGTTATATCAAAGCAATGTGTTTCAAAGAACTTATATTTCCTATGTTATGATAATTCTACTGTTTATACCTCTTTCATAATTTGCCTCAGGAAGTACATAGTTTTATTTACTTTCTTTAATATTAAGTTGAGATCTAATACTCAGTGGTGGAAAACTATATAATGAACCCAACCTTTGTGCCCTAGTTGAGAGGTTCTGATGGATTTGGTCAACAACATTAAGTTCAATTCAAGTTTCTACTAACTTTGAAGACACAAGTCAAAGGGTTGATAGAGATGACCTATCTACTGCTGTTTATACCCCACATTTAACAGTTATGAGTCTCTGCATTCACTACTATCCACTTCCGGAAGAAGGTCCTCTAAGAAAAGTTGAGAGCAGCTTTATAATTTATAATTTATAAAAAATTATAAATATTTCAAGTGCAATCAGATGGCAAGACCATTCAGCAAAACAATAGCAGGCTGTCCCTAGAGACTATGATCACCCCAGTCGGAGGCTTCCAACCTGGTTAACATACCAGAATGAAATCCCTCCTGTGGATTCAAATCCAATCACAAACTGGTTGGCTACCATTCTAACATCAACAGCTCTTCGTACCAAGGGATAAGTCTTGCCTGCAGGTTAGTGAAGTGCTGGTTAATCCACTGATCTCTTTTCTCCTAAACATCCTAGACAATATCTACTGTCATTATCTATCAAGTTTTCTGGTCAGTTCAAGGTTGATGTCACTACGTCCTATGATGAAAGTAAGTGGTCTTTTCTAGTTAATGGGAGTCAGCCAAGGGCAATAATAGTAGCCTGTGTCATTTTGAGTGCCTGTGGGGCTGCCCTAACCAACAACTTTTAAGAAAGTATTCCTTGCCTGGCACTGATATTTCCATTTCACAACTCACATCTTCTGGGAGCACCATTCTCCATCCATGCAAGGTACTTCTGCTTGAATTCCCATTTTAAAAATATATTATATGCTTTTAATTAGCTTACAAATATGTGAAGATAACCATATCTTCACATATTCTTAATTTTGGTTAACCAGTCCTTATGCTTTCCTCTCCGCAATTCCCCTACACTCACTTAAACTTAAACCCTGAGCATACCCCAGGTCTCAGAGAACTTCACAGAGTGTGGGTCAGAAAGAATGTAAGAGCTGGTAGATGAAAAGGAGAACTGTGAAGTGCTGCCTTCTGGATGTGACATGGCTACTGCACTTGTCACCTCTCGGCAGCTGTGGCTACCTGAACGAGACCTCTACAAGATCAAGCAGGTCAAAAATTCCACGGGGATGGGAAAGAGGCCTGCAAGACAGCTGATGACTGCTGAGGGACAGAGTTCCTCTCCTCTGAGGACATGGCTGCTGGTATGGTGAACATGCCTCAGTGGAAGGCTATACACCCATGCACACATACACAGTGCTAGTTCAAGTTGGGGGTTACTAATACAAACAAAAAGTAAATAAAGAGAAACAGTAAACTAGGAGGGAGATAGGATAGGGATAGTAGGGTAGTTGGAGGGGGTAGTGGTAGACGGAATTGATCAACATTGATTGTATTCAGGTATAGAACTTATAAAGAATAAAAAGTGTTTTTTTTTTTAAGGTGGAAAGATTGAGGTAGTATGAGAATAGTGAACAAGAGAATGGGGACTGGTATGAAATATGTTAGGGCATGAACTTGAGTTTTTGGAGATGAGGACGTGTATGGGGAAATAATAATCCTCTTTAAGATAGAATTTGGAGAGGTGGGAGGGTAGCTTTGTGGGTAAAGACGCCTGCTGCCAAGCCTAGTAAGTGTCATTCCCCTAGGGTGGAAGGAGAGAACCTATTCCCTAAGATTGTCTTCAGGCACCCACATTCACACTATGCTGTCTTCCAAAATAAATAAATAAATGAAAAATAAATAGATAATTATTTCCATCAAAATAAACTTAACAAATAGACATTTAAGAGTGAGAATTTTTACTTTTACTGAAATATTTCTACTTAAGTGTAAGTTTTAGAACACATGAAGCAACTGGCTGCTAAAGAACCATGAAGATGATCAATGACAATATAACATTGCTGGGCTAATTTGGAATTAATAATTCCAAATTATTAATTATTGGAATTATTAATTTTTTTATGCAGACTCTATAAATGTCTTTTGTATGCAGACTCTATAAACTCAATGCTCCTGCGAGGGTGGGATCTCACTGTCCAGAGGAGGAAATGAAGGCTTGGAGAACTAAAAATAAACGAACCAATACATGAATGACCTTGAGAAGGTTGTGTATTTAGAAAGTAGCAGAGCTCAGCTAGTATCCTCAAGGAGTCTCTTCACAGGCCCAGCTATCAGTCAATAGTCCTCATTGTGTGATCCGAGGGAGTATCATGATTCACAGTGCTTCTGTTTCCTCACCTATAGAGTGTCAGGTCTGGATTGGGAGCTGCATAGACTAAGTTTCACGATCCCACGTAGCTCTCACATTCTGAGAGTATGAGGAGTGTGTGAGCTTGATTACAAAGATTGGCTGTTCACGCGCCAATCAGAGTTATTGAACAAACACCTCCCTACTGGGTCTTGATAGGAGGGGAAGGGCAAAAGTTAAAAACAATCCAGCAGACCTTGATGAGAGGGCTATAAAAACCGTGCTCTCTGAGCAGATCCACCGTATTTGGCAGCTGCCACCTCACACAGCTTCTGGTATCTCAGAAGACTCTTCTTTGTCACTGTGTAAGTAAAAGGATTTCCTCTGACTACCTGGGGTTGGACCAGCAAGCTGGGTTAATGATAGCACCGTACCTGGTGAGGGGAAAGTGTGTTTGCCTGGTGGTGTCTAAAACCTTGATGAATCTGCTGCAGTTACAATTTTTCTCTCTCTGACCGTGAATACTCATTCGTACTTTCCTGAAAGTAGCAAAAATGCTCCACATGTACAGCCAGCTATTGTTGGCCTGTGTAAGGCCCCGGAGTCTCCTGGAAGAATACTGCAAACACCTTTATTTGTAAAGTTCCAATTAGGTTAGGTTCCTGGGCATTCAGACTGTAGTTGTTCCTAACAACTACTTATTGTGACTTTTTGTTTATATATCTACTGCCTCCCGTCATTTTCTGTGTTCTTTCCCCACACCTACTAGGATCAGTGCTGGCATTTCTTCCTCCCACAAATGCATCCTTGGGGTCTTTCCCTTTTGCCATCTCCTATTGTTCAAATGAAGCGATGGAGCAGGATTAGATATTTCTGAGTGATCATCTTCAATTATGAATTCCCAAGCCTTCCAACACACTTGCTGTTTTCCCTAGCACTCTCTACTTGAACTAGACACTGTAAGAGCTATGCAACTTCAGATGGTAGGAATTCAATCCTGCTGGTTTATTTTATTATATTTATATAATTTTTCTCTACTATATTTTCTCTGAAAAGCAGGCACACTCTGAGAATGTATGGTCCTTTTTGTAAACCTCTCTTCAACTAATTGCCTAGGACTCCATAAGTCAGTCTGGTTCAGCCAGGGCTTGAACTCTGCTTCTGTGGAACACTTGGGAAACACACAGGTCCAGGCTAGAGCCTGAGGGAATAGGACAGGAAATGGGGTACAGCTGCTGAAAAACCCAACAGTCCCTTTGCTTTAGGACACAGTTTGGTGGGAAAGAGCAGCCCTAAGCCATCTCATCATGTGTGCCTTTGTAATAGCAGGGAGGAGAACAAATTCTTGCACATCTTCATGCTCCATACACATAAGTGCTGTGGACACAGCTTGGTGATCACAGACTTTCAATGAATGACAACCCCATCCCGGTGTTTGTCTTGAAAATCCACCTGTCTTGAGCATAGAGAAGCAATTGGACTCTGTGCTTCTATTTCTCCAGGAGTTAAATAGCCACATATCCACATCTTACAATGACTGACTACAGAGCCTCTTCCAAAAATTCAGAAAGAACCACACTGAAAAATTCCATCCATCCTTTTGTAGAAAGACCAGATATTTAAAGAGTTCTAAGTCAGAAGCCACTCAGGTCTTTCTTGGCCTCAGGTTCTTCATCTTTAAGGCAGAAGGTTTGGTATGAATCTCTCTGAGGCTGATTGAGCTCTGCTTCACTGTATGTACTCTCTCCTCATATATGTTAGTATATACAACCTTGCCTCTGATTTATATTTAGCTATTAACATATCCATACATATGCAATCAAATATTGCAAAAAATGTATGCAACAGGATGTGAGGTCTCCCATTCTATTCCACTCTGCAGAAGTAGCAGTCGAGTGGCTTCTGTTTGTTCAGAAAGACTAACAAATAGTATACTGGTATAATTTCTGTGTTGTTTTTTAAAGAGGTCAATAGGCATGTATTTCTCTGGAATTTTTATAATTAATGTAAAATTTGATAATTAAATGTAAATTACTTTCCATCACACTTTTAAAAATAAAATGACTTGGGACCTCAGAAATCAGAGGTTTAGATTCATTATACATCATTATCCATTCCAGGCTGGCCTTCTGTTTCCCGGTGGTGAACATTGACCTGTGACTCTGTTTTATGATTAACTGAGGGGCAAACTTTGTGCTGATGTGGTACAGACCTTTAGTCCCTTTGTAGAAGTTTAACTTCCTGTAAACAGGAGGAGTTTGACTTGACTTTTCCCTGTAGTTTTTATTGAGTCGGCATACCCAGTCTGGAGAAAGTAGCCTGGTAATAACAGAAACACGGGTGCTCTTTGAGTGATTACTTTTTTTCAAGGAATGCTAATAGCTTGTGTTTTCCCATCATTTATAAAGCATCTTCCTGTTTATCATCCAGCTTAACAAGCTTACATTGTAAGCAAGCACAGCACTCGGAGGCTGCATGTGAGTCATTTGTAATCACGTAACCAGAGGAGATATTAGTGCGATTAATTAATATTAAAATCCAACTCAGAGATCTTTTATGACTTGCACAAGTTTCAAACTAGGGAGGCAGGGCTGGTCCTTGAACCAGGCTCTATCTGATGAACAGGGGACAGATTTCCTTGTGAACGTAAGAGGTTTGTGAATTAATGGTATCCTGGTATAATAACTCGCAGTCCAAGGTCCACTCAGACTGCCATTAGGCATTAGGAATTGTCTCAGGCCAATTCCTTCCACATAACCCACTCTTCCCTTTGAATAAACAGGGGATAAAGGGGAGCAATACCCTTTCCCCTAACCTTGTACATTATTAATTATTAGTCCTACAACAAATAATTTAGATTATCATACATTCCTTCCTAATCTAATGATATGAGGGTTTTTTTTAAAGTAACTTTTCTATTGCCATGACAAAACACCATGGCCAAGGAAATTTATAAAAGAAAGCACTAATTTAAGGCTCACAGTCCGTTACCCTCTGGAGTCCATTACCATCACAGCAGGGAGCATGGCAGCAGGCAGGCAAGCATGGCACTGGATCAGTAGCTGAGAGCTTACATCTTGAGACACAACCATGAAGCAGAGAGAGAGAGACAGAGAGACAGACAGAAAGGAACAGAGACACACAGAGAGACAGAGAGACTAGAACAGAGACACACAGCGAGACAGAGACAGGAACAGAGACACAGAAAGACAGACAGAGAGAGAGAGAAAACTAACTGGGGAGGACATAGGCTTTTGAAACCTCAGAACCAGCTCCTAGTGACATATCTCCAGCAAGGCCACACCTCCTAATCTTTCCTAAATAGTTCTAACAACTAGGGTTTGAGTATTCAAATATATGAGCCTACGGAGGCCATTCTCATCTAAACCACCACAGAGAGGGACAGAATTGAACTGCTTTCTGGGATCACTGTTAGGAATACATTACATGGTAAATGTCAAGCAACTAGAAGCATTCTTGGTAACAGACAATAGTGTGTTATTATTACTGGATCAGTTTTTTCCTTTTGCTTTATTAAGGGATTTTTTTTTTTTAACTGTCAACTTATTTGTGACAATAAGTTGTCACAATACCTAATCTGAGAGAGGGATTTTGTATCTTGATTTGAAGGTTAGCACTCTGGTTGGTCTTTGCCAGTCTGAAGATCTGGAGGCCAGGTCTGAAGCTAAAGTTCCTTCTCATGAATTCGTTTAGCAGGCATTGGTTCCTTGTACTGAGGGACAAAGTACTGAGATTGGGATACAAGGAACGGGAAGAGGTGGCTAAAGAATAAAGCTTGGTGTCAAGTTAGCTTTCTTCAAGCCTGGAGTTCAGGCTACTACCAAGAAGGCTGCTTGGGTGTGTGGAGGTGTCTCTGTGTGCTTAGCAGCAAAGCCAAGAATACTTACATTATGGACCACCATTTGACTTCAGCAAAGGCCAGAACTTCAAGTCCAGAGGCTCTTGAAAAAATTTCTCAGCAGTGTAACCCACCTAATCTCATAGATGATTAAATATAAGGAAATTTAATCCTGTGTTTCACCTGCTCTAACCCAAAGTCAGAGGAAAGTTAACTTTAAGGACAACATACATTTTCTCTCTTAAGATTTTTCCCTAAAGAATAATCTAATGGGACTAGAGATAAACAGAGGAAAATGGGGGATGGCCATGGCCATTTGTAATACCGTGTAGCACCAGAAAGCCACAGGATAGAGAACCAGCCTACTATTGAAGTTCCATTTGCCAGGTTTTAGTGATTCACCAATTAGCTTCGCCTCAGGATCAGTGATCCCCAAGATTTCCTGGGAAACATTCTCACTATGAGTATTTGACATCTGACGTTCATCCTGAACATCTGACATCTTACCTTCATTCATCATGAATAACTACTTTTACTCAGGCAATGGCGACACAACATGGATCATTGGAAATGGGCAAAAAGTGTCAAAAGGGCCCATATAGCCTATCCACACATTTTGATTGTCCTGGCCACTAATCCAGTGGAGGCACTCAGTTTTGTGTACACTTGTCCTGTATTCTTTTTTAGACCTGTCACCATGGCCCATCGATTTCCAGCCCTCACTGCAGAGCAGAAGAAGGAGCTCTCTGAAATTGCCCAGCGCATTGTTGCCAATGGAAAGGGCATCCTGGCTGCAGATGAATCTGTAGGTGAGTGTAAGAAAGCCATGCTACACAACATGGCAGCCTGTATATTTCCTTGTCATCAGCCTTAGAGCAGCACATGTCTCCTTTGAAGACCAAAACCCACACAGGAACTTTGAAGATCTGGCTTTAAAAGGAAGATGAAGGGGTCCTTGCTTTTCACCCTGATGAGGAATATTGAGTATGGGGAAAGACAACAGGATACCATAGGTTTGCTTCTCCTCATGCTGCCTTTGGCCTATCTCTCTAGGCACCATGGGAAACCGCCTACAAAGGATAAAGGTGGAAAACACTGAAGAGAACCGCAGGCAGTTCCGAGAAATCCTCTTTACTGTGGACAATTCCATTAGCCAGAGCATCGGGGGAGTGATCCTTTTCCACGAGACCCTCTATCAGAAGGACAGCCAGGGACAGCTGTTCAGAAACATTCTCAAGGAGAAGGGGATTGTGGTGGGCATCAAGGTGAATACTGACTCCTACTTCACCCTGCCTTCTCCACACACTCCCAGCAGTCTGGGCACTACAAGGCCTGAACCCAACAGCACACCTTCATTTCTCAACCCTTTTCCATTCTCTTTCCCCGATGGAAACCTAGATCCTCTCCCAGACTTCTATTGCAGTGCTCACTTTTTGTTTGTTTGTTTGTTTGTTTGTTTTGTTTTCCTTCAAGGAATTTAGTCTCTCTACATCCCTATTTTCTCATTTCTTGAGATGATTAGTATCTATTTCATGCATGATATAAGGATGAAGTGAGGTTTTAAAGGAGACCCTGTCCTGTAGCTTATCAGCCAATGGTTGTTTTTATTCACACACTTGTTTGTTCTGTCTTCTTCTTGAGGCTTCAATGAAGCATGCAGTTCTCCAGCGAAAACTAGCATGCATTCAATGCACACATCTGCAAGCACCACTTAATCCTTCACACAAAATACTAAGGTAGAGTTGATCCTTACTTTAGAGAGTAGAAATGAAAACTGAAGCCTGTGGGGTACTGATACTTGCTTGCACAAAGGCCACCTATATCTCTGCTACTTTGAGCAGACATTGTACCTTAATCTCTTACCCTGTCTGAACACAGTGTCTGGAGGAGCACGAGATCAGTAAATGTAAGGACTGTTCTGAGCGGGGTACTTTCCTTCTGCCTGGAGCTGAACTATGCCCCTCAGTGATGCCTTCCTAATTCACATGCTTGCAAAAGATGAGAACAGCACCAAGAGCATTCACTCCTGTTTGACCCTTGCCAACCTGTTCATTTATCCACAGTTGGACCAAGGAGGTGCCCCCCTTGCAGGAACAAACAAAGAAACTACCATTCAAGGTAAGAACCTTGCCTATGGAGGAGACAAAGGATGCCATGTGGGCCAGAATGGAAGGCAAGTGAAGGAAGAAAAGGAAGAAAAGTTACTATTAGTGCTAACACCATGAATATACCTGCATGTTGGTTTTCTACTCCCAGTACTCCTTGGTGCTGAAGATGGAATCCAGGGGCATTCCAACATCAGTAGACAAAGGCCTGCCAACTGAGATACATACCCAAGTCCAGAGTGCCCACCTCCCTTCCTTATCTCTCCTTCCTGTCTTCCGTCCTCCCCTGCACTCACTTCAGATTGGACCTGGGACCTTAAGTATATTAAGCAATCACTTTACAACTAAACTCTAACCCTAACATTTTTTCTCTCTGTGTTATGTGTGTGTGCCTATACCATATTGTGTGTTTGGAGACACTTAAGTTGTCAGAAGACAACTTAGGATAATGAGTTCTTTCCTTCCTGCATGCAAGTTCTAGGGCTCAAACTCATGTCACTGTTGGCAGCAAGCATCTTTATTTACTGAGCCATGTGGTCAACCTTGTCTGGTTTTTGAAATAGAGTCTCTCTCTCTCTCTCTTTCTCTCTCTCTCTCTCTCTCTCTCTCTCTCATTCAGACTGGCCTGGAACTCATAGCAACCTTCCTCTGTCTCAGTCTCCAGAGTACTGGACTATGGGAATAATCTAGAACATCCAGTTTGGGTGTTGAACCCAAGGCTTGACACATGCAGGGCAAGCACCCTCCCATTGAGCTGCATCTCCAACATATCAGTCCTGCCTCTTCCTTTTAATAATAAGATTGGCCCTAGGCCAGTCTTTAGTTCTATCACAATAAGATGGGTGACAATACCTATTTTGCAGAATAGTTATATGCACTATTTTAGGCAATGTACATACATACAGTCCTTATCTCAGTATGTTGCCTAGAAAAGACACACTGCCCCGGGAAACACTATTTTTACAGAAAGTTCCAGGGGCAGAAGAGAGGAAAGGCCTCAGGTTTTGGGGTCAGTTCCGATCCTTGTTCTATAACATGCTATACAGATCTTTTGGAAAGGCATTTCCTGTCCAAGAAGTTGGTCCTGCTCTCAGGTTAGCTCTGCAGAAGTTGGTCTCAGTTGTCACTTTTCACATGCTCAAAATTATGGTCAAGATATTTAACCACTAGGGGCATTGATTTCCATGTTTATGAGGATTGTTTTCTACTACAAGTTCTCTAGGTTTTACATAGAGTATATCAAACATGTATGTCAAATCTGAGGTTATTAAACCTAGGCCTTCTGGATCCATCCTGTAATCAATACTTATTTGCTTGGGCATTCTTAGTTCTCAATGATAAGCCATTGGAAAAGTCTTTTACTTTATCAGAGGTCCCACAAATCAGGCACAGGGTGCAAAGAAGCCTTTTTTTTTTTTTTTTTTTTTTTTTTCCTGCAGGGCTTGATGGCCTCTCCGAACGCTGTGCTCAGTACAAGAAAGATGGTGCTGACTTTGGGAAGTGGCGTGCTGTGCTGAGGATTGCTGACCAGTGTCCCTCCAGCCTTGCAATTCAAGAAAATGCCAATGCTCTGGCTCGCTATGCCAGCATTTGTCAGCAGGTGAGCACCTTTCACATTATACTAAAAAATAGACCATTCCTTTCTTCAAAGCCCTACTTTTCAATTTCATTATAATCTGACATAATCTTTTTCCTTCAGTGATATATATATATGTACACACAAAGACACACACACACACATATATATACTGTATATATACATATGTGTGTGTGTGTGTGTCTGGAGAGATGGCTCAGAGGTTAAGAGCACTGACTGCTCTTCCAGAGGTCCTAAGTTCAATTCCCAGCAACCATATGATGGCTCACAACCATCTATAATGAGATCTGGTGCCCTCTTCTGGTGTGCAGGTGTACATGTAGACAGAACACTTTATAATTAATAAATTTTAAAGTCTTTTAAAAAATACATAAATACAAAAATATATATATACAAATACATAGTATATATAAATATATACATAATCAGATATATATGGACATAATTATTTTACACATACTCACATATTCATATTTTATATATTATATACATATATTTAATTTATAAGTGTATATATGCATGTATATAATATTACTTTAACTACAGTCATGTATGTAGGGAGAACTCTAATTCTACAAGCCAGTAGGAGTCCTATTAAACTATGACTTCAGGGTCAATCTATCAACTGCTGCTCTCTACCATTGTTCCAAAAGCCAAATATTAAAAATATGAAAATAAAAGAATAAAAACTTTGAATAAACTCCAGCTCTGCTTCAAAAAAAAAAAAAAAAAGAAAAAGAAATCAGGCTCTAGAGTGGCGGTTCTCAAACTTCCTAAAGCTGTGACTCTTTAATACAGTTCCTCATGTTGTGGTGACCCAACCATAAAATTATTTCATTGCCACTTCATAACTATAGATTGTTCTCTGTTATGAATCATAATGTAAATACCTGACATGCAGGGTATCTTCAGGGGTCTTGACCCACAGGTTGAGAACAACTGCTTTAGAAGCAGGAAATCTGCTTGTTTATACTTCATAATGCCCCAGAGAAGATAGTCTTAGCTCCCTAACTAGAGGGTGGTAACTTGGAACTAGTCTCAATTCAATTTGCTTCTTACAGGATGGTGAATGGATACTAGCATTTTTAGCCAACATGTGTTGAAGACTCTAGGTTAGAGATAAAATTGATTTGTAACTGTGGATATTTTGTTAAGATTACTGGAGTTGTGTGTACCTGGAAATTCCTAGGAAGAACTGTAAACTCTCCTTAAATTTGTTAATTCATACTAGAAGATATTTCTTAGTGTTAACTTGGCTGTTTTAAAAAGGATGCCATTAGTTTCTTAGATAGCTAGAATGGTCTGAAGTTAGTATTAAAGGTTTGCATTTTTAAACCCATTCCAGAAAAGCTTTTAGCTTCACTTTAATGTAAACGTGTCTAAGAACCAGGTGCTCACTAGATACCCCACCTTTCTTTTAACCACCTTCAACTAAATTACGTAGCGTTTCTCCATAAAACCTTCCTTTTCTACCAGCCACATCTGTTGGCTGCTCCCCAGAAGAGGACTACAGTGAGAATCACTTCATTTTTGTGCCTCTTCCCATTTTCTTTTTCAGAATGGGCTGGTACCTATTGTTGAGCCAGAGGTGCTTCCTGATGGAGACCATGACCTAGAGCACTGCCAGTATGTTTCTGAGAAGGTAGGTTTGGAACATAAAGTTCTTGAGTTAAATAAAAATTTTCATTTTAAGAAAAAAAATTTTACTTAACCATGTAATAGATGAATTTCAAAAATAACCTTTAGTTATTAAAACCTTTAGTTTTAATTTAGAAATAACCATTATGTAGCATGGAAAAGGGAAAGAGCTGCCTATCAACCCTTCCCATTTCAGTTTGTGATGTCTTATAAGAAACAAGATTTGGAACTTACAGTCAGTCCTTTTGCCTACTATGGTGGGTTCTAGGGCAACGCATATTGCCTCTTTTGGACCTCAGTTCTATGTGTACACTATGAAATCTTAAAGTAAAAGGTTCACATGAAAAATTATGAACTATGTTGTACACATGGGATTTCCTAAAACAGTCATAGCCGTTCTGAAAGACGGTGATTTTCTTCATAAATCATGAGAAGGTATGCCACAGACATGCCACTTCACCTGAATTTCTCCAATCGTAAAAAGAGTTATGTGTTCTGAACTAGGATGTGGAAGAACTGTTCTTAAAATGTATGTTACTATTATCATTAAGATAATTAAGGCAGCCCAAGATGATGACATTGACCAAGGAATGGGAAGTGATGGTTGTCTAGGAAACAGAGCCATGGCAATAGTTCTTGAGATAAATGGCTAGAGGCAGACATGGTCCAATGTCGTTAGGTTCAATGACACAGTTTGCAAATACATAGCCAGAGAAGACTTGGAGATAGCAGAAGCTTTAACCAAGAAATACATGGAGATTACTTTATCCTGCACTCTTGGAATGCAGAAGTGCCAGGGTAGAGTGATTCTAAGACTTAATCCAAGTTTTATTTATTTGGTCCCCTTATTCTTCAGGTCCTAGCTGCTGTCTACAAGGCCCTCAATGATCATCATGTTTACCTGGAAGGCACCCTGCTAAAGCCAAACATGGTGACTGCTGGACACGCCTGCAGCAAGAAGTATACGCCAGAGCAAGTGGCTATGGCCACTGTCACAGCTCTCCACCGCACTGTTCCTGCAGCTGTTCCTGGTAATGCCTTCTTTCTCCTCAGACTTAAGGTTTTAGTTCTTCTCCTTTAGAAGATATGCTAAAGAAGACATTTGTAGTTGTTTGGAACTTGTTGAACCCTTGTAACAGGATGTCATTTTCTACTTCACAGGCATCCAATACTTTTATCTCCTACTATGTGATGCCAAGTATCTTCTTCAGTCTATCTGAAGGCTCACAAATGTGCATTGCCTCTGCATTTCACTGGCCTCCTAATTAAGACCCTTCTCGTCCCAGAAAGTACAAACTGACTTCTGTGACCTAGTCCCATGCAAATCCAGGAGAAGAAAGATTAAGACACTGCATTTCTTTTAGCTCATTGCTTGTTTTCCCAGGCTGGGACTAATCCAGTAAAATGACTTCTTTCATTCCAGGAATCTGCTTTTTGTCTGGAGGCATGAGTGAGGAGGATGCTACCCTCAACCTCAATGCTATCAACCGTTGCCCTCTGCCAAAGCCCTGGAAACTAAGTTTCTCATATGGAAGAGCCCTACAGGCCAGTGCACTGGCTGCCTGGGGTGGCAAGGCTGAAAATAAGAAGGCAACTCAGGAAGCTTTCATGAAGCGGGCCGTGGTAAGAAGCTGCTCTCTCTTATCTTCTTCATAGAGGTGATATGTGACAACTGACATTCTTGCTTGGAGAATGTTCCTAAGATAGTACCTACTAGGTATTAAAAATGTAATATTACAACTCAGTAGGAAGCTTGGGGTTAGAAAGGGTTTTGAATTTTCTATCCTAGACAGACAGTTAATGACAGAAGACAGAAAGGTATTCTCAAACAAGGCACTCCAGAGGAACGGAGACAACAAGATCAAGGCCTGAACTTGAGATGCACTTCATTTGGAAATATGCACAAGAAAGGACATGGTAAAACCCAACAATTCTAGAGGATAAACCAGGGGTTCTAGGAACAACTAGAAGAGTTTCAAGAAATCAACATAACACGATACAGAGAAATTAAAAGCAGAGACCTTGAGATTAGCACTGAGGAGCATACCAGTGACCCTTGTCATGAACGTTCAGACAAAGAAGAGAAAGGTGCCCATTTAAAATTTGTGTTAGGAATTTTAACAAGCAGCACTAATTGGACTCTGGCTTATTAAAAACTAAAAAGAACAGATGTGAAGTGTTGATGATTCCTAGTGGCAGTGGGAAAGAGGAGTTGGGGTTATATATATATATATATATATATATATATATATATATATATATATATTGTCAAGACGTATTGTTTATACATATAAATTTGTCAAAGAATAAATAAAAGACCTTCTACTTAAAAATAAAAGTTTTGTTGGGAAAAGGTGTTCAAGAGAAACAAGGACCAAAATAAGTTTTAGTCTACTAGTAAATATTAGGTTTTAAATAAGCTCTATGAGACAAGGACTGAGGTGAACAAAGCAGACACAGGCACTGTGCTCAGTGAGTTTGGAGTTTAAAGAACTAGAGGGGGGATAGTATGAATAAATGTAAACTAATGAGGACCACTGAAAGTAGAAGGATCTAGAGGATACAGGATTGTAAGAGATTGTTATTGGTCTTAGAAAGATGAGAAGGAGGAGAGCAATGGGCAATAACTGACATGAACCACAAACTTGACAAGAAGTGACCAGAAAACTGGGATATCAAGAGAGAAAACACAGACAGAGTTGGCACCAAGAGCAATATTCAGCAGCATTATTACAAAGAGTTAAAATCATCAAATGGAAATGTAGGTGGTTTCAAATGAGCAGTAGAGAGTATCAAGCCAGGGGCTGTAGTTCCTTAATTCACTATTTTCTCTTATGTTTGGTTTTCAGGCCAACTGCCAGGCAGCCCAAGGACAGTATGTTCACACAGGCTCTTCAGGTGCTGCTGCCACCCAGTCGCTCTTCACGGCCTCCTACACCTATTAGATCCCGTCACCCACCTGCCAGGCTCCAGCTCTCCTAGGTGTTTGGAGAGCTGAAAGGCTTCAGTCAACCCTGGAAAGTAGATAACATTTGATTGAGCTGCTGATAATGTATGTGAATCACAAATACAGGAGAATCAGCTGTTGAGCTTGAGCATGTCACAGAGTAGTTTCTGAACTCCAGTTCCCCATGTTCCAGAACACTCATTCAAGAAAAGAACAGGCTTTAAAGAAAAGTCAGTCTTCTGTGCACATAGCAACTGCTGAGGAAAGCACCTCAGAAGCTGAGGTTGGAAATGGGCATTTTAATAAACATACACACCACGGGTTTGTTATAAGGGAGGTACAATAGAAAAAGAAATAAAATGTGTATAAACATTCATCTGGTACTGTCTTCACTTTGTACTCTTGTTGGTGGGGTCTGTATTTCATTGTCTTTAACTATACTAGACATGATTGGCATTAATAGCCAGGATCCTCAGCTTTGGATGTTCACTGAAGTCAAATGGCTGGTGCCTCCCTTTAGCTAAATTACACTAGAAATTCCATCAGATTAAATAGTAATTCTTTTTGTTATTCCAGTGTGCAGCCATGCTTAACAAGAGCCTGTCTCAATTTCTAGTTTGAGAATATCTGAAAATGCTAAGACAAAACTGTTCGAGTGACCATCCTTCTCATTGAGAAGGTGTGTCTCTATATTTTCAATTGTTGATTACTGCAGAGAACTAAGTGCTGGCAGGATTTTGGTACTGTCACTTTTATGGCCCATCACTGGGTTTTCTATTTGGTAACGTTTGTCTTTCCACACCTGCCCAAAAACATAAAGGTCAGGCAGCCCTTTATGCCTTAAGGCAACCAAAAAGATGGATCTTACTGCTGATTTGTTATAATAAAGCTCTGATGGCCAGTATCTGGGGCAGGAAGAATGAGGATGGGACTTCTGGGCAGACAGAGGGATGCAGGAAACGCAAGCAGTGATGGGAAAATTGGAGAAACAGGAAAGAACAGAATGGACAGAAGAGAAGCAGGGCGTTAAGGAGCTGGCCATATGTTAGGACACAGGCCAGGAAGTCAAGTCAAATCAGAAGCTAGCAGCGTGGGGGCACACACCTTTAATCCCTGTACTTGGGAGGCTGAGGCAGGTGGATCTCTGTGAGTTCCACCCAGCCTGGTCTACAAGGCAAGTCCAGGACAGTCAGAGCTTGATACAGAGAAATCCTGTCTTGAAAAACAAAACAAAACAAAGCAAAGCAAAAGTTAGAAGCTAGCAGAAAGACTGCTCCAGCCAAAGGCCGAAAGCTTTAAACTAGATAGAAGTCTCAGTGCCTTATCTGAACCACAAGTGTGTCCGAGAAAGTCCTGCAATATATAACAATATACAATCTCTCAAAACCTATGAAGTGTACAGAATGACTTGATGCCCCTTCCAGCTTGGCACACTCCTTTCCAAGTACTCAGGTTTTGTTACACAAAACTACATTTTCCTCTCAGAGTCGAGTTTGTCCCCTAGCTGTGCAATAAACAATAGTCATATAATTTTAGTTTTGGCTGTCAATGTTCAGACATAGCTTTTAAAAGAAATTAAGAAAATTATAATCACAAGGGAATTTAAATTCTGAAACTTTGAACAATAAACAATGAATGATTTACCTGATAGGGACTAAGATACATGGAGAGTAGACAAGGGAAAAAAAGGAATTATGAATACTATATAAAAGATATGTTATGAAGCAATGCTTTAAATAACAAAGGACCTAGACACGATTAAAATGCATACCAATTATTAAAATGTAGGACATAGCAAACTAAAGTTCTTGAATAATATAAAGACAAATAGTACCACACAAAGTACATTAAGAAATAGAGGCATAAACAGATGATTTTGTGGAATAAGAGAATTCATCCAAGGGGGTTTCTTCTAAGAAGGCCTAGGAATGAAGCACAGGACAGTGAATTTTACTTATTCCATGTCATCTACATATTAATATTTGTTTCCATGTACTTGCTTTCCTAGAGGCAGCTATATTCATCTAAGTAATTCAAAGCTTACCTTAATTATAAACGTAGGTCATTTAGCAAAGGGCTTCTGTTTTACAGATAAAGTCTAGAGCACTTGTATTACTTGCCAAGGGTCACACAGGTACTTTCATGCTGAGAAGTTAGGATTTAACTCTATGATGGACACAGAGCCAGGGAAGAAGGGTATGGGAAAGTTGCTGGCAGTGTTCAGCAACTCTTCCATTGATGTCGATCGGCATTACCTATTGCATAGATTTCAGTCAATAAGCAAAAACGTATGCTCGATATCATGAAGATTTGAGACAAAGATTATAATTTCTTCAGCACTGGCCTTGAATAGATTTCTCTTTCAGTTAATCTCAGTAGAACATGTGAGCAGACCTCAGATTCTATACTTTTCCAGTCTGTGAAAACACAGTAAATTACTAATGAAGTTCTAGGTGTGCAAAGACATGCCTCACTGGAGGATATCCAGAAGGAACATTGAAAAATGACACTTTATTTATAATAGCCAGAATCTAGAAACAACCTAGATGTCCTTCAACCAAAGAATGGATACAGAAATTGTAGCACATTTACACAATGCAATACTACTCAGCTATTAAAAACAAGGAAATTATGAAATATGCAGGCAAATGGATCGAACTGGAGAAGATCATCCTGAGTGAGGTAACCCAGAAGCAAAAGGACATGCATGGTGTATACTCACTTTTAAGTGGATATTAGCCATATGATATAGGATAAACATACCAAAATCTATTGTCCTAAAGAAGCTAAACAACAAGGAGGACCCTAGGGAAGATGTTTAATTCTCATTCAGAAGGGAAAACATGATAGACACTGAAGTGGTAGAAGAGAGGTAGCAGGATGGGAGCCCACCACAGACATTCTCTAAAAGACTCCACCCAGCAGGGGATGGAAGCAGATGCAGAGACTCACAGCCAAACTTTGGGCAGAGTGCAGAGACTCTTATGGAAGAAGGGGGATATGGAAGGACCCAGAGGGGATAGCAGCCTCACAAGGAGACCAACAAAGCTAAAAATGCTGGGCCCATGAGACTGATGTATCAACCAAACACCATGCATGAAGAAGACCTAGAGGGCCTGCTCAGATGTAGCCTATAGACAGCTCAATCTCCATGTGGGTTCCCTAGTAAGGGGAGAAGAGACAGTCTCTGACATGAACTCAGTTGCCTTGATCACTTCTCCATGCTGAGGAGACCTAGCCAGCCCACAGAGGAAGAGGATCCAAGCAGCCCTGATGGGACCTGATAGACTAGGGTCAGACAGTAGGGGAGGAGGACTTCCCCTATAAGTGGACAAGGGAAGTGGGATAGAATAGGAAAAAGGAGGGAGGGTAAGACTGGGAGGACAGAGGGAGGGGCTACAACTAGGATACAAAGTGAATAAATTGTAAATAATAATGATGATGATGATGATAGAAAAAAAAGAAATAAGAAAAATGACACTGTGGTAGTATCCAGATAAAAATCCAGAGAATAAAGAAGCAGGAAGAATATTCAAACAGGTAGCTGAGGTGTTATCAAATCTGTGACAAAGTACGACAAAGAAGGATTAAATGGTAGGGGAGAAGGTGGAACTCGTATTGGTAGTCTATTTGAATCTGGACTTAAATGCCAGGAAGCTTGATGACATCAACAAAAAAATTTTTGGTAGGAGTGCTTCACATTCAACTTCTACGCATTGGAACTGTCAAATGTTTCTGCCATCATTTACACAGACTACAACTTGGAACTTGAACTTTGGATAGTAGCATAATAAGAAGGAACTTTATTCCTTCCCTGTGCCACACTGTCCCATAAGATTGTAGGTAGCACCACCTTGTGACAGACCTCTTCTGCCTAAAAATTATCTGATCCTACGTTAGAAAAAAACCTGTTAGATGCCATTAATGGTTAAGCATGAACTTACTATAATTCGGCTTTTATCTTTGGTCAAGATTAATTTACATTTCCCTAGGGAGAGGACTTATATAAGGAACTTTCCCTAGCTACTTACAGTCTATATACCTTTTTGTACTCAAGGGCTACATGTACTGAAATCTTACATTAATTTCCTGAATTCTGAGGGGCCAAGATGGCGGCACCGGGAGAACACCGTGTCTGAGAAGCGGGACAACACACTCTGTGCAGCGACCAGGAGACTGAACTCTGGGCCCTAAAACAACAGCGATCGACCGTGTTTCCCAGGTGAGGGGAGGCTCCCATGGCGTGGGAAGCGGTCGGGTCCACTCTCGGCTGCCCAGCCAGAATCCGAAAGAGAACCCAGCAACGCGGGTTTTGGGTCTCTGGGCTGGTGCCGCAAACCTGCTTATCACGATCAATTTCCCAGGCTGATTGGTGGGCACAAGGGGCCTAAGGCTACGAGTCCCAGTCGAAAAAAAAAACCCACGGGGAAGGAAAGTTGCCAGACTGGTCACGGGTCACCTAGTCTTTCCCTGGAAGGTCTCTCCGACCACGGCGGGTACCTGCCGCCATCACAACTGAGCTCCCGCCACGGGCGGATAGCAGCTGCGCGCCCAGCTCAAAATCCCTACTCCCTCTTCGGAGGAGGCAGGAGGTGCCCAACAGAATCTGCCACAGACCACATTGTCTGTACCCCAACCCGAGATCGGGGCTGAGAAAACTCAATCCTTTCGGGCACTCCCCCAAACGCCGCCATCACCCTGCCGCAGCGGAACAGAAGGATAAAGAGGCGCACAGCGGCTTCACAGTGCCGGAACTCCAGTGCTGCCGGCCGCTCCTAGCAAACAAACTACAGCTCGGGATCTGGGACTGTGGTCATTCTACACGTCCTGAGATTCTCCTGGGTCCAGCGCAATAAGGTCTAGCAGCAAGTTCTATCACCGGCGAAACGCCGCCAGCTCAGGGCTCAGGATCCCACTGAGAAGCCCCAACCCCTGCTGGCACTCCCCTGAGAGCACCTCCATAAGCTCGCCCTAGCAGAGGAGAAGGTCAGAGGGGAAGGACAGAGAGGCAGCCTGCCAAGGACACAGCACCCTCTCTCCAGCGGCCCCTAGCAGAGAAACCCAAGCACTGGATCTGAGGACACTCAACCCTACCCGGTACTCTCTTGGGATCAGCAAACATAGATTCTACTGCTAGGCTGCTTCTGGCAGAGAGAGCTGGGCCCGGGATCTGGGATTGAGTACACTCACCCTAACTCTTTCCCGCGCCACCCAGGGACCAGTCAACACAACCCCTCCTGGCAGAGGGAAAGAACAAAGAGGCAGCACACAGAAAAAGTGGACACCGAGTCCTGCGGCCACAGTGTCACAGAGCTGACTGTTACCCTACCCGTGCACTTCTGCAGCAGGACCAAAACTGAGAGTAGTGAGCAAGGG